TCACCTAAGCCCAGGAGTTGGAGGTTGCCGTGAGTGTGATGCCATAACACTCTACCAAAGGCAATAAAGTAAGACTCTGTCTCTTAAAAAAAAAAAAAAAATGTATCCAAACAAACCCCATTTGGGGGTTAAGTGCAGAATTCTGTCTCAGACCTGAGCAACAAATTTACTTCCCCAAAGGAAAGTCTCTCTCAGGATCTTTCTTCATGTGCTGTTGACACCTGATAGCCAAGTACTTTCCCTGGGGAATACCATTGAATGCATTTAGAAAGACAGAAACCAATTGTGCCATCCCTCGGCAGCCACAGCAGTTTGTCACGCAAGCTGAGCCCGTGAGTGTCTGGTTGGGGGTTCTCAGGTGGAGACAGAAATTCATTAGCTGAGTGCCTATTAGGTGTCAGGCCCTGATCTGATCTCTGACAAAATGCCTGCCTGTATGAAATTGGTGGTCTAGAAAGACAACAGGTGACAAAGAAGACAAATGTGTCAGTTTACACGATGTATCTGGTGGGATATAATGGGAAGAGCAGAGTGGGAAAGGTTGGGCTGCTGGGCATGGTTAAAGGATATAGTTTTCTGGAAGAGTTCTGGGAATGCCTCAATGCCTCAGTGAAAGGCCAACAATCAGAGGGAGGTATGTGACCAAGCTGGGGAGAACAGCCAGTGAGAAGACCCAGAGGCCAGAGGAGCAAGTAGTAAGAAGGCTGGCAGGGGTGTCCAGACTGCGGTCTGCAAGCTGCATGTGGATTGTGTGAGTACTGTTTGGCTTATCTGTCATAGTGGACATCATGAAAAGTATGCACAGATTTTTTATTTTTGGCTCATCAGCTTTCCTTAGTGTTGGGTATTTAATGTGTGGCCTAAGACAACTCTTTTCCCTGTGTGGTGCAGAGAAGCTAAAAAATTGGATATGAACTTGGCCCTGGAAGCCATGGTAGGACTGGAGCTTTGATCCTGGGTGAGTCAGGTGCCCTGTGAGAACTGGGGCAAAGGAAAATGTCAGATTTTAGTTGTCACAGGTACTTCCTGGATGCTGGGTTGAATAGGCCTTGTCCACACTTTTTGCCTCATGCCTGGAAGTCCAGCTTTAACTAACTCAGGAAAAATTCAGATTCTGCAGCAAACCGTGAAGATGCTGAAGTCTTATACCCTCCAGAGTTGTCTGATCTTTCTTGAGAAGCACAGAATGACTGATTTCAGATCACATGAAGCTGTCTGCTTAGCCTGAGGCCTGGATATGGTATCATTACATGATCAGAGGTCTCCTTTGGGTAAAAATACTGCACCAAAATAATTTCAAATTTTTATTCAAAATTTTAACATAGAATTATTTATGAAAGTAATTTTAAGTAATGATGAAGTGAGTTGAGAGCTACATAGGACCCCTAGAGAGCCCATAGCTCTGTGGCTGGTGCTCTTCAGCCTGTGCAGGGCCAAGGAACTGGACCAGGCTCAGTGCTCACAAGGTCTGTTCATGCTCCCTCATGCTGAAAGGGGACCTTTTGCTGAGGGAAGTGAGTTAGGAATTATAGAGGTTACGAAAAGCATGTTGTTCAGAGCATGTTCCATAAACTTGGAGGAGAGGGGAATCCAACATTTGCCAATAGCCACACGGTGTATTGGGCTGGAGTTTTCATAGAAGTCTGGGGGAGTGGGCTTCTCTGTGCCATTGTCTGGTGACAGCCTGCTCTCACCTTGCAGAAGCACACTGAGGAGATCACCAAGATGCGGAACGACTTTGAGAGGCAAGTGCGAGGTCAGTTTCTGACAAGCATGTTGTGTACGATGGTGTCAAAGGCCCCCTTCCATCAGAAAGAAACTTACCCCCAGAGTCTGTTAATTCAGGGCACATAAACTAGATTAAAACTGCCCAAGCATGCAAAGAGAAAGAATGTGGGAGTTTCCAAGGCCAGTGGACCCACTCAGTATCCCAGAACGACTTATTTCCATGTGAATTTGGGAGGCTCTGATTACCACACACTTTCCCACTCCTGGCTAAAATCAGCAGTTAATAGTAGGTGGTAGTTATTTGTGGGCAGCATTCTTAGAATAGGCTTCTGCATGACTCCTGGCCTGAGAGGGCTATACTTTCAGAAGTCATCTGGCTTACTGTTAAAGCCCTAGAGTCTGTGACTGACTGCCACATAGCCCATGGTTAGGGTGTCAGCTGACATTCAGCTTTTGGGACCCCCAGTGCAGGGACTGATTAGCAATTCCTGTCACTGGCAGAGGCAGCTGACAGTGGCGTGTGTGCTGAATATATCATCTGTGAACAGAAAAAATTTCCCCTAAACCTGTCCTGTTCTTCTCTGGAAGAGCTTGTCTGCCAGCCTTTGTGCTGAACTGATGGATTTTCTTGGGCTGTGTTCACAGGTCCTATCTACTGTAGCCATAGGGACACCTGTTCTTCCTCTGCTAAGCTGGTATATTTGCTGCTGCCTTTCAGAAATTGAGGCCAAGTATGATAAGAAGATGAAAATGCTTAGGGATGAGCTCGACCTGCGGAGAAAGACTGAAATCCATGAGGTGGAGGAGAGGAAGAATGGCCAGATCAACATGTTGATGCGGCGGCATGAGGAGGCCTTCACCGACATCAAGAACTACTACAACGACATCACCCTCAACAACCTGGCCCTCATCAACTCCCTCAAGGTGCTGCATGTGGGGAGGACTAGGGAGACACCTGCTGTCTGTCCTAAATGTGGAGTTGTAAAGCCCAGGGGATCCAGACACCAGTTTTCACCCTGTCAGACCCAGCACCCTCTTTTGTAAGAATACTCAAGAGTACCCCTCTTCTGGCCTTCACTGACACTTATGAATAATGTGACCTGTCTACACCTATAATTAAAAACAATCAGGATATTTCCCCAAGTGTAATGCTGAGGGGGGAAATAATAAAGTATGTTCTGATGGGTGGAAGCTCAGGCAGAACTGCAGTAGATGCCATGATGTGGCCACAGGGCAGCTGGAGTGGACAGGTGTCATTATCACTGAGATGCTGCAGCAATAGTGTTTCCCACAATGAAGATGGCTCTTGGTCTTAACTGAGTATAGTTTCTCAAGCTGTATTCTCAGAAAATTCAGAGTAAATTGAAAGTATGCAGAATACTTTGCTTGTACACAGAACAGGTGCAGGTCCTCCATATGCTGGCATGATGTGTCTGTGGGCAGAAGAGCACCCAGCCCTTGCCTCCCAGGCCACAGCCCCCTTGGTACCGTCCACCGAGCCCTACCTGTGCCTGTGCCCACAGGAGCAAATGGAGGATATGCGGAAGAAGGAGGACCACCTGGAGCGGGAGATGGCAGAGGTGTCTGTGCAGAACAAGCGCTTGGCAGACCCTCTGCAGAAGGCTCGGGATGAGATGAATGAGATGCAGAAGCAGCTCAAGAACTACGAGAGAGACAAGCAGATCCTGGTCGTGAGTCTCTGCTGCCTTCACCCCCCTTCTTGGCGTGTGCTCCCTGTGCTTGGGAGAGAGGGAACCTGGGGATAATTGAGGCCCCACGAAGGGCTTGGCCCTGAGGACAGGACAGGAGTCTGAAATCTCTGTCTTTGACTGTTCTACTCCTGGGGAACATAGAGTTGGTGGGAGTTTTGGAGATGAGCCCTGACCTTCCACCTTATCCCCCTGACCTGCTTCAGTGTGGGGCTTGGCTACTGTGTCTTTAAGCCTGGCAATTATTTTTGGCCTTGCTGTCTCTCAGGAGCCTGTATTACATGGATGCCTGTGAATCCTGAGTACTTTCTGTCCCCACTCCCTACGTTCTCTCCAGTGCACAAAAGCACGTCTGAAAGTCACGGAGAAAGAGCTGAAAGATCTGCAGTGGGAGCACGAGGTGCTGGAGCAGCGGTTCTTCAGAGTGAGCAGGCGGGACCCTGCTGGGGAGGGGCTCTCCCTGCTGACCAGGCCCCTGGGCCACTCTTGATGTCCATACTTTGGCCAGGTTTTAGGTTGAGAAGCTGGAGGTCCTATTTCCTGCTCCTCATTCCATGTTGTATTTGCGAGGCAGAAGTGTGTGGCCTGTTCTGTAGCAAGCTCTCTGGTGAGGAGGAGGTCACACATACTTCTGTCCTCTCAGAAACTTAGCTCTCAAAACACATGGAGGAGGTCTCACCCTTGCAGCAGCTATCTTTTCACATATATGTGTCCTTTCTACATTTTAACCTGTTACACACTCATGGTAAAGAAGTCATGGGAACCCCAAGTGTGCAGGTAAAAGTGAGTGCCTCCCTGTCGCCCAGCACTGGTTCTCACACATGGTGACAGTTTTGTTAGCCTCTTTCCAGACGTCTTTCTGTGAATGCACTAGAGTGGATGTGGTTTCATGCTCCTCAGAATTGGGATCACACTCTAAGCACAGCTTGCTATTTAATGTCACGGTCTATCAGGTTCACATACAAAGTGGCCTTTTTTTTTTTTTTGTAGCAACCACAGGGTGCTCCATATGTGAATGACTGATGAGTGATTTTGCTTGTTCTTGCTGAACACTTCTATTTCTAATCCTTTGTTCTTATTAAGCACTGCTGCTTGAATTACCCATTTACATTCATTTTTGTGTATCTGTATAAGATCCCTTTTATTGGAAGTCAGTTCTTAGCAGATTATGGGGTCTGAGGGGTCAGTACTCAGAATCCTTACTTTTATTTATTTATTTATTTTTGAGACAGAGTCTCACTTTGTTGCCCTTGGTAGAGTGCTGCAGTGTCATAGCTCACAGCAACCTCAAACTCTTGGGCTCAAGCAGTTCTCTTGCCTCAGCCTCCCGAGTAGCTGAAACTATAGGCGCTGCCACAGCGCCCAGCTATATTTAGAGTCAGGGTCTCACTCTTGCTCAGGCTGGTCTCAAACTGCTGAGCTCAGGCAGTCTATCTGCCTTGGCTTCCCTGAGTACTGGAATTACAGCAGTGCTCAGAATTCTGATAGTTCATGCAGAGGGCTGTTCTGAATTACGTTCCTGCCAGAATGTCTGAAGGGCCCTTTTGTTTATTCCTTGACTGCACCAGATCTGACAAATTTGAACCTTTGCTGATGTAATTGAGTGGTAAACATCTAGCTTAATGTGCCTTTCTGAGATTTCTATTGAGTGACAGAGATGTTTGGTCCTGTCTTTGCCTCTCAACCCCCTATCCCACAGCCTCTGTGCAGTTTCAAAGGTGTGGCCAAGGGCTGATCCCTGTGCCACAGGGTACTTGGTGTTTTGTCTGTGGTATGCATGGGCACAGCATTTTATCATGAGTTGTAGCTACATGTGCTATTTTATTTTCTTACTTAATTGAAATTTACGAACACAGACTGTAATAATAGGATTGGCCTGTCTCCTCCAGAGCAGGCTCCACAGGGCACCCTATCAGTATATTAGCTCTATACATCTGGAGTCCCATGGAGTATAAAATGCTGGGCTCTGCCAGTTGTCAGCTATGGCCCTGTGCAGGGTAGCCCGGGAGACCCTGAGTCCCACTCTGTTGGACAAGGATCCTCTTCTCTCTCCTGTGGGTTTTGCAGTGGGCATTAGTGGGAAGAGGAGAGCAGAAATAAGCCTGGGTTGGAGCCTGTGTTTTCTGCCACAATGTCCTCCATTTGAATGTGGTTCCTGGTATGTGCCAAAGTCAGTGTTAACTTCTTAGAGAACTGAGAGCCAAATTTGTCAGCAAAATGGAGATTAAACATAGTTACAATTCACATATCTGTAAATAGGGAAGTAGATTTAAGCAAATCTGGAATTCTGTACAACAGTTAGAAGGAATCCACATATGTGCTGCTTTGGAAGGTGCTGCAGGATATCCCATATCAGGGGATGTGCTGCGAAATATGTGCAGCACTTTAGTGTGATCCCATTTTCTTCCAAACAGTAATAAATATTTTCACATGTGTAGAGAATGTTCCAGAAGGAGTCACACTAGCTGTTCACAATAGTGGCCTCTGGGAATTAGGGTTAAGGGGGGGGGTTTACTTCTTACTTTTGGCCCTTCAGGGAAGTTTAGATTTTTTTTTTTTTTTTTTTGAGACAGAGCCTCAAGCTGTCCCCCTGGGTAGAGTGCCATGGCATTACAGCTCACAGCAACCTCCAACTCCTGGGCTCAAGCGAGTTTCCTGCCTTAGCCTCCCAGGTAGCTGGGACCACAGGCGCTCGCCACAACGCCCGGCTATTTTTTGGTTGCAGCCGTCATTGTTGTTTGGCGGGACTGGGCTGGGGATTCGAACCCGCCACCTTAGGTGTACGTGGCTGGTGCCTTAGCCGGTTGAGCTATAGACGCCGAGCCAAGTTTAGATTTTTTTACAGTGTACAGTTAATAAGTAGAAGAGTTACGAGATTAGGAAGAATACAGTTTCCCTACTTGGCAGGCAGCTGGTTCCAGGGCTGTGCTCTGGATCTGCCATTTGTGGGCATGCCCATAGCATGTGGAGTTCTAGGATCTGGAGCTGAGCAAGGGAGTGGTTCCTCCCATTGCCAGACACTGCTAGCAGTGCAGTGCCCTGGATCTCATGTGGAGGCAGCAGGGACAGGTCTCACCTGAGCCCACAGCCCTGATGCATGGCAGGACGGGCCTCAGTGGTGCAGCTTTTGGGGTAGGGACTGCTCCAGTTCTTACCAGGACACCCTGTGGGTTCCAGAGATGGCTTCCTGAGAGGAGGGCTTGTTTTGTTTCCCTCTTGTCTTCCCCTGCACAGAAGGGAGGATGCAGGCAGTGTGGACAACATGTAGACCCACATGCCCATGGGCATGGGCAGTATTGGAGGTGACCCTTCCACAGAAGCAAAGGTGGAATTCGCTGCTCCCCTTAGACATCCTAAGCGAGGGGTTCATCACTCACCCAGTGCCGCCTTATAGGTGCAGCAGGAGCGGGACGAGCTCTATGGGAAGTTTACCTCGGCCATCCAGGAAGTACAGCAGAAGACAGGCTTTAAGAATCTGGTGCTGGAGCGCAAGCTACAGGCGCTGAGTGCCGCCGTGGAAAAAAGGGAGGTGCAGTTCAACGAGGTGCTGGCAGCGTCCAACCTGGACCCCTCGGCCCTGACACTGGTGTCCCGCAAACTTGAGGTAGGCCCAGCTTGGGCTTCTGCCCCCAGGGGTGGCCTCATCCTGCAGTAGGATCCTTCAGCTCTGTACTGTCTCTCTTTGGACAGTCACATAGACCCCTAGGTTGCCCACAGTGGGTGCAGACTGGGGCTGCTATGGGCATGTGTGGCTCTTAGGCACTGACACTAGCAATGTCTTCTCTTCAGTTTCTTTTTTTTTGAGACAGAGTCTCAAGCTGTTGCCCTGGCTAGAGTGCTGTGGCATCACAGCTCTCAGCAACCTCCAACTACTGGGCTTAAGCAATTCTCTTGCCTCCGCCTCCCAAGTAGTTAGGACTATAGGTGCCTACCACAGTGCCTGGCTATTTTTTTTTTTTTTGGTTGCAGCCATCATTGTTGTTTGGCGGGCCCAGGCTGGATTCGAACCCGCCAGCTCAGGTGTATGTGGCTGGCACCTTAGCCACTTGAGCCTTAGGCGCTGAGCCTTCTCTTCATTTTTGCTTGAATCTTTCTCAGGCCTTCACAGGACCCTCCATCATCTCTGGTACCTCCTGACCTCTAACCCTCTGCCCACTCTAGTTCATAAGCCAGGCTTATCTGAGCATGTCAGGATCTTACCACCTAAATACAGTGTGAGGAGTGTCAAGGGTGGAAAAGTCACTGTCAGAATCTTTATGGGCCTGAGCTCGGCTGCTTGTGGACAAATTGCAGACATAGGAAGGGGGATGGCCGTGTCTCCTGAGCACCTCTGTGTCTAAGGTACTGCTCCTGTCCTGGGACAGAGACAGCACTGGGAGGCCCCTAAGATGTGCAGATTTAGGATGCGGAGAATTGCAATGGGGAAAGTGGGGCTGGGTGAGCCTGAAGGCCCTGACCCAGCCTTTATGATACCAGGGCATGTGAGGTGTGAGCAGAACCCAGAGCATGCCCTCTATGTTCCCACCACCGTGTGGTGCTCTGCTAGGCTGGTCCTCGCATGGGACACAACCAGTAGAGCAGGTGAGGCCTTGGCCCCATGGTCCAGCAGGGGAGACAGCATGTGGTCAGCTACCAATCAAGATTCTGGGGAGCCTCTGTCAGAGCCTTCCTGGTGGCCTCTTACCTGGCATCAGTCTTCTGGAGCTGCCCTGTTCCTCTGCTCCCTGGACCTGATTGGGAGGAATCAGAGGAGGAACACGTGATGCAGGATGGGGGGGGGGTCTTTGGCTGATACTGGAATCCCAGCCAGCTGAGGTGACCAATAGCTGACAGACCTTTGGCTCCTTGGAGGCCCTCAGATACAGATGGCCCATGCCCAGGCCCAGCTGCTGCCCTGAGCTGGAAACAAATGGTTTTGAAGCCCCCACCAGACCAGGCCTAGTGCAGCAAGGCTGGCTTGTCCCAGACATACAGCCTTCTAGGGTCACAGGACACCTGTCCATCTCTGCTGCTTGTGCCACACATGGCCTGTGGAGAAGCAGGCATCTGGGGTGTGGGCTTGAGATTTCTTCAGCTGTTTGTAGAAGTGTTTTTTTTTTTCACCCTGAGACTATCTCAAGCAGCATTTCTAAGGTGATTTGTTGGTGTATAGGTCAGCTGAACATAAATGCCGTCTGCTCACCACTGACTCTAGGCCCAGGGGATCGACTGTTACACGTCAGTCACCTAATCTCTAAGACACTCTCACCTGGCTTTTTCCTGTGCCCATATACCTACTCACATGTGCAGCTGTCCTCCACCTGAGGCCTGAGCCAGTTAACCTCTGCTGAGCTGTCCTGGGACCCCCCCCAGTGTTGAGGGGTACAGGGCTGAAGCTGAGGGGGCTGCTGTGAAAGGACTGTTAGCTGTGCTGGGGAGTTTAGTGCCAGTTGGGAATCATGGAAGGTTCTGGGAGGAATGGATTAGAGATGGCCATTCTGCTACTGATGGGGATGCAGGGCTGGAAGAGGCAGGTGGGGGCTAGTGTAGGGTAGAAAAGAGCAGAGTATTAGAAAGCCCTTAGGAGGTGGCACCCATAGCTCAGTGGGTAGGGCACCAGCCACATACACTGAGGCTGGCAGGTTCAAACCCAGCCTGGGCCAGCTAAACAGCAACTGCAACTGAAAAAAAAAAAAATAGCCAGGCCTTGTGGTGGGTGTCTGTAGTCCCAGCTTCTTGGGAGGCTGAGGGAAGAGAATTGCTTAAGCCCAAGAGTTGGAGGGTGCTGTGAGCTGTGATGCCATGGCACTCCACCCAAGGTGACAGCTTGAGACTCTGTCTCAAAAAAAAAAAGAAAAAAGAAAGCCTTTAGGAGGCTGAGTTGACAAGACTTGTTGCTGATTGAGGAGGGGGCTGGAAGGGGCCAAGGTGGTGATGACTTGCCCCCGCTTTGGCTAGGGCACTGGTTATTCACCCATGGGGGCCTTCATAAGGTAGCAGCAGGGCTTGGTGGTTGGCATTGCCTGTGGGAGCCTAGGTCACCTGGGATAGGCCAGCTTTTTGGTCCTGAGGTAGTGAAGCCGGCTGGGAGAGGCCTCATCTGGGATGGGAGGCCTATCCTTGTCTGTTCAATGCTGGGCCCTGTCCAGGGCAGAGCCAGTCCACGTGAGCACAGGCAGGTGGGAGAGTGAGGTCTGCTTCTGGAAAGTGAAGAAGGGATGTTCTTACCTCCCTTGGGGAGGGTGTAGGCAAGGAAAGTACCCTCATCGGAAAGTGGTAGCGGCCTCTCCAAGAGCTGCTCCTAGGCTGGGCAGGTGGGGATTTGGGGGAGCTTCTCTGGATTCTGGTCATTTGGCAGCAGAGATGGCTCTAGAGCCAAGCTGGGCGAGCAGTGGCCCTAAGGTGGGAGCCCTGGAAGCTTTACCCTGTGGTTAGACCCATGGTCACATCGGTGGGGCCGATGCTGCTAAAGTCTTGAAAGTTAGTGACTTTTTTCCCTGTTACAAGATAATACAGGGCTGAGTGCAGTGGTCTGAAGTCTTAGCACTTTTGGAGGCTTAAAGCAGGATCACTTGAGCCCGGAGTTCGAGGCTGCAGTAAGCTGTGATGGTGCCACTGTACTCCACTGTCTCTAATAAAAGCAAAAAGAATAATATACTCCGATAGTTCAAGAAATTTAAGGAATTATAATTGTGTTTAGGTACCAGTCTCCACAATGTGGGGACTGCATTCCGGCCTGCTTATGCCATCTTCATTTCTTATGAGTCTTGGTAGTTTCTTTATGGAGATAGAGATATTACAGGTGTGCATTCCTCTGTCTCCCTGTCTCCTTCACTGTCTTCTCTAGACCCTAGGAGACTTTTTCCTGCTGACCTGCCTCTGTGTGGATGTACATATTGGTCCAGCCAGGCTGTTATTCCCTGAACTTTGGAGGACCCCTGCTGGAGCCCCCAGATCACCACCCACCCCGTCTGCTTCCACCAAAAGATGTCTGTTAAACTCACATTTGCCTCTCTCCTCAGGACGTTCTAGAATCAAAGAATAGCACCATCAAGGACCTGCAGTATGAGCTGGCCCGGGTCTGCAAGGTACAGCTATGCCCCTGGCCCTGCCCTTAGGACTATTCCTTAGGGCCAGCTTCAGTCTGTTGCCCACCTGGCCCCGCTTTCTACCTCACTTAACAGGCCATGTGCTGTGAGCACAGTGTTGTTGCTTAGGCCCAGGCCATCTCTCCTGGGATTGGTGGAGGGGGATGTGGAGGGTGCTGTGCTCACCAGGGCAAGTAATAGAGGCCAGGACCCAAAGCTACCGAACTAGGCCACAGTTCTGCTCCATGTACCCTCTGCTTCTGTCTCCCGATTTGTGAAAGAGGAATAGTGATAGCACCTCCTTGTGGTGGCCTACCTAGTTGGTGTTTGTGAGGTGCACACCCTGCCACTCACTAGCCTCTCCCTACTTAGTCATCAAGGCTAGACCTGTACATGTCACCTAGTGCTCAGGCTCAGGTGGTTCCTTTCCTTTTTTTTTTTTTTTTTTTTGAGACAGAGTTTTACTATGTTGCCCTCAGTAGAGTGCTGTGGCATCACAGCTCACAGCAACTTCCAGCTTTTAGGCTTAGGCAATTCTCTTGCCTCAGCCTCCTGCGTAGCTCAGACTACAGGTGCCTGCCATAATGCCTGGCTATTTTTTGTTGCAGTTTGGCCGGGGCTGGGTTTGAACCTGCCACCCTCAGTATATGGGGCTGGTGCCCTACTCACTGAGCCACAGGTGCCACCCAACACCTGGCTATTTTTTTTTTTTTTGTAGTTGTCACCATTGTTTAGCAGGCCTGGGCCAGGTTTGAATATGCCAGTCCTGGTATATATGGCTGGTGCCCTAACCACTGAGCTACAGATGTCGAGCCAAGGTTCTTTTCCTTCTTGACATAACCCATCCCCACAGGCCCATAACGACCTGCTGCGCACATATGAGGCGAAGCTGCTGGCCTTCGGGATCCCCCTGGACAATGTGGGGTTCAAGCCCTTGGAGACAGCTGTGATTGGGCAGACACTGGGCCAGGGCCCTGCAGGACTTGTGGGCACACCGACGTAGCCACTCTACCCCAGGGCTGAGGCCTGCAGAACCAGCCTGGGACCACTCCCTGGGTGATACCCCCTTTCCCACACTTAGGACAGCAAGTTTATGTTCTTTAGGTTTTACTGTGAGCAAATGAAGTCTTTTCACACTTTCTTGCTGTCTTCTTGCCTGTGTCTGTGGAGGACACCCATGGTGCCTCACACAGGGCACCTTTGGCTGCTGCTTTCCCTGGGTATGTGTCCCATCCTATGCCACATCTGTTCCCTTCAGGGGCTGCCCCTACTATAGTCAGCACACCTCTGAGAGCCGTCACCTATGCTCTGTTTATCTCTGCATTCCTCTGTACCTGGTGGACAGAGTGGCTCTGTAGGTGCTGGCATAGACTTTATTGAGTCACAGCTGCCCATTAGAAAGCTTGGGGGGTGGGCAGGTCCTCCCCTAGGAAGGAGGTGACTATGATGCTCCATGGTGAACGTGAAGCCCACTCTGATGAGGGCTGGGTGAGCAGATGCTCTCCTGGTGTCAGCCTTGGTGCTAGCTCCCTCGGTAGGTGGTGTAGGACCATGGGCTCAGCAGCAAAGGCACATGGAGCTTCTGGGTCTCATCTGTGACGGTGAAAATGACCTGAGAGAGAGCACCCACAAGAGTAAGAGATTTCGGCACATGAGCTGTCTGGCCTCAGCCCTCAGGGAGAATTTAGTAGCTCAGAGTGGGGCTGGAGTCAAGGGAGGAGCAGATGTCCTCCCCAGGGTGAAGAACTGTAAACGTCCCTAGGGCTTAGGGTAGGGTGAATCCTCTTCACTGGAGGGACAGCTCCAGGGAGGTCACACCCCCTGCACTGCTGGCACATCCACAACATGATGGGTCTGCTGCTTTAATGTCAGCTCCAGATGCAGATGGGAGCGCAGAGGTTTGGCCCAGTGCAGTCTGGGGCTCTGAGGACAACCTGTCTACAAAGTGGGGAGTGAATACTCGGGCCCAGCCTGGCTTCTCCACAAAGCCTGACGCAGGGGCAGGGCAGGGACTGGTGTGTCCTCATAAAGTCTGACAATGCTTGGACACCTTTCTTCTGGGAGCTCAACCATCTGCCACCACCCTGGGGGAGATGGGACAGGCAGGACCAGTCTGCCCACTGCCCAGAGGAGGCCCAGCCAGCAAGGCCTGGCCTGTGAGTCACAGTGAGTCCTGAGCCTCCACCCTGCTGCCCTGCCCATGGCCTCACCTCCACATATGGGTAGAAGCTCTTTTGTCCCCTCTTCTTCCAGTAGGTCTCAGTGTCAAAGGAGAGTTTGTAGGTGCCTGCCTTCATCTGGGTGTGGGTCAGGAGCCCGGGGCAACGGCCATCTGGGTCTGTGTAGCTGGGGAAGAGGACAGGGCTGCAGAGATGGGGACAAGGAACCACCCTACCCCTGTGCTTCTGGACCTACATCCTGGACAGGCCTCAGATGCTTCCCAAAGCCCAACTTAGACATGGGTGAGTAGGCACACAGCAGGACAGTTTTTAAGGCTTGCAGTTCTGGAATAGACCCTGGCCCCACTGCACTGTTTTTTTAGGAAATCACAATACAGAGACACAAAAGGGAAAAATCTTCCCTAGTCTACTTCATGAGCAGGAACAACTTTATCTCTGACTTGTATTTTTCTAGATTTTCTTTATGCATACTATTCACAAACTTTAAAAGTCATAAAATGGATTGTTCTATTTGTTCCATAACTTGTGTTTTTCATGTAGTATACTGTGTGGTTTTCTGGGTCAATAACAACCAAATCCTCACCCACTTGGTGGCATGTTGCCCCCCTTGTCAGGGTCCTGAAGGCTTTGCTCAGTCACCTGCAGGAAGACCTCCTGTTCTGACCAGCTGAACCTCAGAGTGTGTGTTTCTACTGTGAGGAGAAAGCATAGTGTGTGCGTTGTGGGGTTGAGTCTACGTGACCCTCTTCGGCATTCCTGCCCAACCAGGGCTTTGCCAGCTGCTCAGATGAGATGGCTGTGCACATCTCTGCTTTTGTGAAGGGCTGAGGATGGAAGGAACAACATCCAAAGACCCCATCTGGAAGGGAGGAGGGAGCCAGAGGGAGCCTGCCTCCTTTAAGGAGAGGGCTGGGGATCTGCACACAGGGCCCACCCAATGGCCACAAGGGCTGAACTGGGGACACCTTCCCCAATGCAGAGCCTGTGTGCAAGTGCCCACCTCAAGTGAGGCTGAAGACCATGGTGCCTCACAGGCCTGGCTTGGAATCCCAGCCTTTACCTGTCTCTTGTTGCCTCAGCCTTCCTGTCTGTTAAAGAGGTGATTGCAGTGCCTACCCAGAGGTGTTTGGAGAGTAACAAGAGCAGAACAGAGTGCTCACTGTGTGGCTAGGCACCAACTAACTGTGGCCACAGTGAGGTCTCAGACTCCACCTCAGGTCTCTGCTAACCCAGCCCTCCCAAGCATGGCTGTCAAGGACCAGCAGAGACTTGTGCCCACCCCAAGCAGGCTCAGGGGTGGAGGCCAGCAGCTTATGCTGTCCCGGACTGTACAAACCAATCGAACAACTACCCCCCATCATCCCCAAATTTTCAGGTGAAGAAACTGAGGTTTAGTCAATAGGAAGGGGAGCCTGTGGCTGGTGAACCCAGGGAGTGGGCCCTGAGGCAGAGTCAACCCTGCCCTCCAGCCCTTGGTGCCTCTATGCTTGGCTGTTTGGGATTCCTCTCAGGAGGGGACATGGGAATGCCCTGCAGGGGAGCAGGTGCTCTGGAGTCCCCCCCCTACCGCAGGACCTCTCTCCTACCTTGTCCTTAGTTCAATCCACTGTTGGCCATGGTCCTCGAGTCGGGACAAATGAAGGCAGAGGCCCTGGGCTGGAAGCCCCAAGGTGGTATCCAGCACGTGTGTTGTTAGTGAGCTGCTGGCTGCATCCATGCCACTGCTCTGGGTCACAAGACAGGGGCAGGGGTGAGCTGGGGGCTTGTGCCTAACCTTGTGTACACACCAGCTGTGATAAGGGTAGATAGCCCTCTGGACAGAGTCCTCTCATCCAAACTGCCCAGGGGACAGCAGGGTATAAAACTGCTAGAACTGCTGAGCCAGCACGATGAGGCAACCTGTTCTTAAACAACCGACCAGTGTCTTCATTCTCACCTGCTCCCCCACCCCCACCAGGGATCCTCCCCCACTTTCCTGGCCATCCAGCCACTAAGGGCAATTTCCCCCCAAGCCCCTTAATTGCAGCAGGTTAGTGCTGGGCCTGGGGTGCCTAGAGGGGTTCCCTTGTTCGCCCAGAACCTGGCTCTTTTCTCCACCACCCCGGTTCATGGGCTCTCGGATCTTAGCTGCGCTCCCTTCCAAACACACACCGCAGACCAAGGGACAGGTCTGCTGCCTACTTCTGTCTCCCAACCTCTGCGGGTCCCAGGTGTCGCTGCAGCGTCAGCAGCCGCGGGGTGGCCCTGGAGCTCATTGCTGCTCCACCGGGAACTGCACGATGCCTACGGGGCGAGGCGGGCACCGCGGCGGGCAGTCCTTCCCAGCGCCGTGGCCCATGGGTCAGACCAAACCTGCCGAGAATCGCCCGTCAGGGCCCATCTCGCTGCCCATCAAGAGGGCCTCAGGGACTTTTCCAGGAGGGTCGGGGTGAGTGATGGGGGCACACAGACCTGACCGAACCCAACACTCGAGGAGACCGTGGAAGTTCCTCCCGGATGGAAGTGGAGTTGGGAGGGGGGAAGGGCGGGACGCGCCCGGGTGTGTGTGTGCGCGCGCAGGGACGTATGGGGCGGGGACTTGCAGGAGGAGGGGACCTGTGGGGGGCGGGGACGTGCGAGGTTGGGATGTTGTGCAGGGGCAGGACGTGGCAGGGAGGAGCAGTGGGGGGCTGGGGACCTGTAGGTGGCCTGGACGTATGGGTGTTGTGGGCGCGACCCACAGGTCCAGAAATCAGCCCGGGTTGGAGGACAAGTGAGCCGCTGGGAGGCTCAGAGACCCAAAAGATTTTTTTTTTTTTTTTTGAGACAGAGTCTCAGTATGTCGCTCACAGCAACCTCAAACTCCTGGGCTCAAGCGATTCTCTTGCTTCGGCTTCTGGAGGAGCTGGGACTACAGGCGCCGCCACAACGCTCGGGTATTTTTTGGTTGGAATTGTCCTTGTTTAGGAGGCTCGGGTCAGGCTCAAACCAGCTGCGGTGTCTGTGGCTGGCGCCCTATTCACTGACCTACGGGCGCCAAGCCAAGACCCAAAAGATTCTGATAGAAAATCCTTTGTGGGACAAGGACGGTTTTCCAATTCTGGCTGCCCCAAAACGCATGTGACCTCGCCTCACTTTCTTCATCTGTGAAATGGGAGCAGCAATTCCCATGACATGGCTCCATAGGCTAAGGCGAGGCTCTCTGAGCTGTGGTTGTTACGCTTTCTCTACCTGCCCTCTCCTTACTTTCCTCTGCTTTCCCCTCAACCCTATGGAGTACATCAGGTAGAAGGTACTCTGCACAGCATGAGGAAAACAAGTGATGGAGAAGTGTGCACTGGCATGAATCCATCGCTGTATTAAAATTATATAGCACACTCAGAGAACTAAATTTGGATGTATATATGAATAAAATAAGGGCATTCTATGTTTAAAATCTGGAAAACTCCACACCATAATGTTGGTTTACTGGTTGTCTTGGTCTGGGATATGGAAACTTTTTATTCTTGCCAAGTTGCATTTTCTAATAATTTGATAGTGAACATAGTAGGTTAAGGATCAGGTCTTTCCAACGGAAGGGAAGGAGAACCTCTTAACAAAGGTCAAGAGTGTTCTGGTTACAACCACTTTTGAGGTAATTAGGAAACATCCAGTTGCCATTTAAATTCCCATGATGTTTGACATGGCTTCTGTTAATAGGAGGTAACACCAAAGACATGCTCACACCTGTTATGGAAATGCCCATGGAAGTCAGTCCCCTTGGGAACCAATTAAATAAATGAGCTCAGTGGCACTCGAGGGTGCTCTGCAGCCATTTAAAAAGAATAAGGCACATTTGTGTGTAAGATGAAGAGCAGCCTCCTGGAAACAGCAGCTAGTGACAAGGCACAAAATTGTATATAATAAAGGGAGGGCTTGTAAATTTATATATAGATCTGGCTGTATTGCAAAGACAGCTTGCTTAATTCACACAACCTCTTGATGTTAAATATTATCACTGTCTTACAGAGGAGGTGATAGTCTATCTTTGAATTTGAACTAAGTTATAATAAAATAAAAAATTTTTCAAACAATAAAGATGCAGTGTGGGGTCTGCAATACCTAGTTATGAAAAGATGTGAAGTGCACAACCTGAACATAGTATTTCCCATTCCCTGTGAGGGAAGACCCAGGGAGACCAAGGGAGACTCAGGCTGGAAACCCATCTGGGAGGTCATCTGTACAGTTCAGGAAGCCCCTAGAAGTCCTATGTGTTTGGTGAAAGATCCTGGTGACTCTGGTAGGGAGAAGGGCATGGATGTAGGAGTTGGGAGGGGATGTGAGAGAGGGTCAGGGGAGACTCCCAGTGCCTATGACCAGAGGTAGTTACAAGAAGGATATCAGACTTTACACCTGGGACCTGCAAGCCACATTTCCTCCATGGCTCCCAACTAACCCTGTCTCATGTGGTCTGCTGTGATCCTAAGGCCACTCCCAACAGCCCTTTCTGTGTGGTTCATTCATCCATCCTGATATCATCGAAGTCCACACCATCTCCTCCTTTCCAGTCTAACTCCAAACACATCTCCTCCATGGAGGTTTCTCTGAGTTACTCCCTGGGCCCTTGTGCCTGTGTCCTCTACCACTGTGGAGGGATGCAGTTTACCAGGTGCTAGGTTGGTAGAAGCAAGGTGGATGGAGCAAGGTCCTGTGGTCGTTTGAGTTTGTGAGTGAGTGTGGTGGGACTGACTGTATGTGTGAGCATTTGGGTGTGTGAATGAGTGCTATGTGAGGCCAAAAGTATGTGTGTAACCATGTGAACATACATGAGTGTTAGTCTGTGGGAGTCTGCACATGTGTAAGTAAGGGTATGAGGGTGCATGGTGTGTGTGTGACTGAGTCTGTGGGGGTGTACGTAAGTGTGTTCTTGTGAGTGAGCCCAGCATATGTAGGAGTGTGATCACATGTGAGCAAAGTTGGCATGTGCATAAGTATGCAAATGAGTGAGGGTATTTGAATGTGTGTGCATGAGGCAATATGTGAGCCTGATTCTGTGAGCATTTCAGTATGAGTAGTGAGTATGAGTGTGAGGGTATTTGAGTGTGTGCATGCAGTGAGGGCAAGTGTTTGCATGTGGGGTGTGCTCTGTGTGTGTGATGGTATCTGAAGATACGCTGTAAGCATGCTGTGTGTGAATATGTGTGCATGAGAGGGTGTGCTGTGGGAGTGTATGCATGTGAGGGTATGCTGTGTGTGAACATCTGTGCATGAGAGGTGTGCTGTGAGTGTGCATGCTTTGTACCCTAGAGCATCTAGGACACTCTGCCATTCTCCCACAACACACATGACATTCCATCCCTGGTAATCACCCAACTTTAGCCTTTGATGTAATAGGAAGAAGGCAGGAAGTTCAGTCCAGCAGCCAGGCTGTGTCCTCTCTGAGGATTCAGGTTGGAAGCCAGATCAGGCTGGGATGAAAGTTGATTAGGTATGGTCTTCATGCCTTCATGTGATCTCGCCTTAGTTTCTTCATCTGTGAAATGGGAGCAGTAACTCCCAAGGTTGTTGACGTGCCTCTATAGGCCAAGGTGTGAGGCTCTCTGAGCTGTGGTTCTCACACTTTTGCTACCCTCCTTACCTTTGTCTGACCTCTCCCCAACCCTGTGGAGTATATCCTCACTCACCCTCATTTTGGATTGATCATTTAGTCTCCTAAAGCTATATTTAGTCTGTAAAATGGGTGGGATAGCACAGTTTCTTCCTCATGGGTTTCTGGTAGAGATTCATTGAGATAATGAAGTTGCAATTCAGCCTTGATGCCCGGAGCACAACATCTATCCAAAGCATTACTGTGACCGGGGCTGTGGGAGTGGCAAAGCCCAAATATTAACACCCATACTCTCACTGCTACCCACAGCTATGAGGAGGGCTATGAGCAGTGGCTCTTCATACCCTCTGTGTTGTCCCTGTGTAGACTGGTTCATGCAGAAAACATAGCATTTCTGAATTGATGTCTAGCTAGTTGGCTGGGTCTTGCCATATCTGGTACCTGAACAGAATCTACTTTCAGTCTTACTGCAAGGCAGAGTGTGGTGCCCCCACATTCTCAGGACACAGTTTAGGTATGGTCTTCATGCCTTCCTCCAGCCAGTGCTTCAGAATGCACACAGAAGCCAATACCACAGCGCTAGCTTTTCTACTGGGTAGAGTGCCGTTGCATCATCATAGTTCACAGCAGCCTCAAAGTGGGCTCAAATGATCCTCTTGCCTCAGCCTCCCAAGTAGCTGGGACTACAGGTGCCTGCCACACATCTAGCTAGATTTTCTATTTTTAGTAGAGACAGGGTCTTGTTCTTGCTCAGGCGGTTCTTAAACTCCGGAGCTCAAGCTACCCACCTGCCTCAGCCTTTCAGAATGTTAGGATTGAAGGTGTGTGCCACTGCACCTGGATATGGCACCCGCTTTTGAGAAAAGACTGCCCAGCAAGAAGACTAGATAGAGGTGGGCTATCAGTCCTTGCTCAGGACACAGCTAGAGATGCATAACAGTGCAAAGCCTCTGTTTTCTTGATTCAGAGTCTAGGCAACTTTCTGGGCTGAGAGAGCAAGAGAAAGGATTTAGGAATGTTGGCTTGGCAGAGTCTGATTGGAGGACTTCCATTTTGGCTGTTTAGGGTAAAACATGTTGAAACAGGTTTTCGTCCTAGGTCTTCCAGCCCAATGGACATTGGAAAGGTCCCCTTGTTTAGGGTTTCGTCATGTCCCAGTCTTCTTGGTTCTGAATCCCCATGATGCCTACAAGTTAACTCAACATTTTGTTATCAACAGAATAAGTCTAGTTTGGGTTAGTCTCATAGTTACAGCTGCTCTTCTCCATGAACGTTTCTTCTCACCTGCTTTTCTTTTTCTCTCTTTTTTTTGAGACACAGTCTTACTATGTCACCCTCAGTAGAGTGCTGTGGTGTCATAGCTCACAGCAACCTCAAACTCTTATGCTTAAGAGTTGACATAGTGAGTGTCAGCCAATTTAGGTATGGTCTTCCTGCCTTCTTCTAGCTAGTGCTTCAAAGTGCACACAGAAGCCAACACCATGGCACCAGCTTTTTCTACTGGGTAAGAGTGCCTTTGCATCATCATAGCTCGCAGCAGCCTCAAACTCTTGGGCTCAAGTGATGCTCTTGCCTCAGCCTTCTGAGTACCTGGAACTACAGGCACCCACACAACACCCGGTTATTTTTTTGTTGCAGTCGTCATTGATGTTTAGCAGGCCTGGTCTGGGTTCAAACCTGTCAGCCTCGGTGTATGTGGCTGGCCCCCTAACCACTGAGCTATGGGTGCTGAGCCATTTTCTTTCTTGTTGATAGTTTCATCTTAGGTTTGTCAGTGGAGAGAGGACTCTTCCACTGTCCCACCTAGAGTTGATTTTTCCAAGCCCCTTGGTCCAACCTAGATACACTATGGCAACTTCTTGCTTCCAGGGCATGTGGGGTCCCTGGGGGCCTTAGCCTAGCCTCTCTTACCTCCCTGACTCCTCACTATCACTTCCTGGGCCCCCTCCTACAAATTCTTGTTCCAAT